AACAGCCCTGCATGAGATGTTGTCGTGGGCTCTGGGCCTCCAGATGGATTCACGGCAGGCACTGGTATGAACTCTAGGTCTTCAGCTGGACTCATGTAGGACATTTTTGTGGGATCCAGGCCCTCAGCTAGATTCCTTGGTCTTAGTGTGTGGACAGATTTCCTGCACTCTTTTGTATATCGTTCTCTGGGTGACTATTTATAAATAATCATATAAAGTATATGTCCTATTTATATGTTGTTTCCCCTTGCAAATAAGCCCCAAACCAACATAGGAGCCTTCCAGAAGGTAATCGGATCACAAGGGATAGGGGCAGAGCCCTTACCTCATTAATCAGTGGATTAATCCACTGATGGATTCATAACTGACAGCCTTATTCAAAGGTGACAGGAACACAGGAGGGGAGGACTGGCTGGAGGAGACAGGTCCCTGGGGCGGGTCTGCAGGTTCTCTGTTCAAATGTATAGAGCAATGGTTTGGAAACTTTTTCTGTATGTAGCTAATTTTTTTTACTTTACATGCTACATGACTTCTATTGCATATGCTTCTGTGCTATCCCACAGGCCACAGCTTACCAAATTCTGGCTTACAGGATAAATTCTAAACTCTCAGGCATGGATTTATCTATATTCTTCTAAATTTGTCTTTTATGACTGAATCCTACTGCTCAGAACCCTCCACAACCCAATCATGGGGTTAAACATGTCTATACTCCATTCTAGTCATACTTTTTTACCTGTTTATTTCATTAACATCAAACTTCCTTTTTATCTCCACTATTATCACATAAAATACAACACAATGATAAACAGGAAAAAGCAGCTATGGTTGATTAATGGTCAACTCCTAACACCCAGCTGAACTGAATCAGCGTGGTGCTGGGTGTGGAAGGCCCACCTGAGGACTGTTGGAGAACAGGAGGGGAAGAGGGTGTGCTGTTGATTGTCCTGGAGAAGCCTGTCACACAGTTTTCTTGATATGAACTCTGACACCGGAGCTGTTCTCATCATCAGATGAGCTTGGGTCCTCATGATCACTGAGGATGGCTGCAGTTCTCTTCAAGGGAGCTCTGATCCTTACCTTGAGCGATGCTTCCTGGCCCTGGTGCAGATCCCTCAGCCTGCTGGCACAGAGCCTTCGTCCCGCTGGCTCAGACTTTCTAGCTTCTACCACTGATCTTTGGGCCCTCCCAGTGCAGATCCTTGACACAGACTTTCATGAGACATTGTCGTGGGCTGTAGGCCTCCAGCTAGACTCGTGGAGGATGCTGCCATGGGCTCTAGGTCTTCAGCTGCACTAATGCAGGACACTGCCATGGGACCCAGGCCCTCAGCCGGATTCTTTGGGTCTCTAGTGAGTGGACAGATCTCCTACATTCTTCTGTATTTGACTCTTTGGGTGACTATTATAAAATAATCCTATAAATTATGTGTCCCATATTAAATGTATTCCCTTGTAAACCCTGACTACAACTTCCCTTGTAAAGCAGCCTTTGAAAATATCTGTATTATTGAAAGGAATAGTTAATGCTTAAATTTTTTTTCTGAGTTTTTTTGACCAATTTTGCCTGCTTATATCTGGTAATCTGAACAATTACTTTGAAGACAACAATATGCAATATAACAACCATTGCTGATTTCCTATCATCTTGTTTTGAAATTGTGTATTTTTTTAATGGCTTTTTAAATTTTATTCTCTTTAAAAGAAAAAAACAGAAAATATCGTTAGGATTTACGTCTAGACGTCCCCCAAGAGCCTCACGCGCTCCCATGCAGTGCTTCTGGAAGGGACTGGATGGCCCAGGAGCTACAGCCGGCTTGCTGTCAGAAGTGGGGCCTGGCTCGAGGCAGCTCGCTGGGGGTGTGGCCCGGAAGGTCCTCCCCGCCTCTCCCATCCCCTGCGCTTTCTGGACACCTGGACGTGAGCTGCTCTCCTCTACTGGCCCTTCTAAGCCACTGACCATGCGAGGACAGAAACTTCTAGAGCACGAGCTAAATTAAACTGCTCCTCCTTGAAGCGGTGGAGGTCAGGCATCTGGTCCCAGCAACAAAGGCAGTGACTAAGACAATCTGTACGACTTTATAAATTACAAGAGGTTCCAAACTTTTTGTCAATTATACCTCAA